AAATAATATTTTGAATTCTATTAGTATGGAGCATATGGGTGGGGCAAATTAGATAAAGGAATAAAAGATTAATGCTTATCTAACATAAAATAAAAATATTATTATTTGAAGCTTGATTTTAGAGTAAGAGATTGCTACAATATTAGTCTTTGATGCTTGTGGGAGGGAAAGATTATTGTACTTTACTCATTAGATTAAAAGAAAACTTAACATTAATATATTATATAATAATATAGCCTAAAATTGAATGCCAACTGTGACAACAAAATAGAAAAATGAACAAGAGTTTAATTAACTTAATGTCAATAGATTAAAAAGTTTTAATATCAATAAGAGTTTGACTGAATTAGTATTTACTAATTTAAAATTGTTAATTTAAAGTCCAAGTTAAAAGTTTTCATATTATTAAACAACTAACCCTTCAATATACTAAAATAATTGAAAGTTACTAATTTGATATCAAAGTAAAAAAATTTCGAACTCCTACCATGAAAGTAGCAATTAAGTGTGGGATAATTTGTGCTGTTCAAGCGCTTCCATTAATCCAATAGAGCATTGATTGACACTCCCTCCCTTTAAAAGCCCCAATGCCCCAATGGGCATGGCTTTGGGTTCGGACGCAGATAGTTGGGTTTTGAAGTGGGCTTCTATTCAAAACTCAGCCCATTATGGTATGCTGGCAATCCTTATGTGATTATGTGTAACAGCTATGATTTGTGTTCAAAGTCCAACCCACCATGATCAATATTAAAGGTCAATTTAGCAATAAACTCATAGACTCTTTTCTCTTTTCCATGAACCATACAATAAACATAATTCTCCTTTGAATCGAATTTTCAAGTCTAATGATCGTTTTTTAAATCTTAGTGTTTGTGTTTAATTAATAAAAAATTCAAATCTCACAAACTAAAAAAATTCCCCTTTCCTTATAATTTTCCATGTCTAAAAAAAAAAAAAAACATAATTCTCCCTTTTCCAAAACTTTCTCTACTTATTGCAAGACCGAACTTGAAACTTCTAATATGTAAGTTCAAGTTCGCTTTCCCATGCGACATAGACTGATCTTAACGTAATGCAAAGCTATAGCTTAAAAGAGTCTCTTAATCTCATTCTACTCTTTCACACGCAGATGACATGGGATATATGTGCTCTAAACTATTCCATATGTAAAAAGAGAGGTGAACTTTTTAGGAGATTATTACCCGTATGAGATGAAACAGCGGATGGGGAAATAATTCTATGCTCAACTTTTAGTTGCAAAGAAATTATAGGAAGGAAAAGGAACCTTGGACAGGACTTAATTGTGGAATAGCACTACCTTCCTCATGAAACCAAGGAACAAGAGCAATTCATTCGTTTGGTCTGCATTGTTGAGACAAAGAATTTGCTTTTCCTAGCCAGTGTTGCTTTCACTTTGCACTAAAAAAGAAGGCCAGACGACAGTTTCCCTACCATGTTCCCTTCTAAATCCTCACTTGGAATATAGAAAGCCGCAAATGGGCCTTTGACAGTGTTATTAGTTAGGGGTTTTGAATTCAAATCATTGTATGTGAATGAGGTGAAAAACAAGATAGAAGAGAGTTATATCCCATTATTTACAGAAAAACAAGATTACTAGGCTAATTTAAATTTGAAACAAAGTATTGTCAGTCACAGTCAGTAGGGTAAATAGCAGGAAATGAAAAAGCAATCCAGGGTCCCTTATCAGAAAAATGGAGTGAATTAACAGCAAAACCAAGAAAAGTCAAAAGGCAGACCAACCTTTTCCAGCTGGTGTGCTATACAATGTCTCTATCTCTTCCAGGGGGTGATTTTCTTTGGATTGTTTTCCTGACTGAAACAGGGGACCAATCGCAATAAGGACAGGAAGGATGGAATATGCAAAATTTATATTGAAATCTTGAATCTCTTTCAGGAGATTCTGAACTGATTATAGAAAAAAAAAATGCTTAGTAGAGTTGAAACCACTTGATTTTTGTTTCATTTATTAATTATTTGTTTGTGCATAATTGAATTGATTACTCTGATTAATATGCAATTTCCAGTTCTGTTTAACTTTCTCTACAGCCAAGCAGGTAGGAAAAAACTCAGTGATATGGTGAAGGCAGTAGAGGACAAAGGTTAACAAATAAAACCGCTGACAGTGTCCCATACTCATGGCATCCATATAGCTGCCAAACCTGAAAATCTGTCTTCTGCTTTTTTCTGGTCTGTTATTCACACCACAGTAAAGGAAGGGAAAAGTGAAGAGAGCAACTGCATAAGTGGGATTATCAAGGAAACTGCCTTTTTCCAGTAAAATCACAAGCAACAGCAACAGAAGAAAAGAAGCATTCTGATTTCTATCATCACTTCAACTCCTTTACACTTCTTCTCTATCACTTTAGCAGTGACTGCCTATCCATCAATTCCTTTCCTTCTCTTTGCATTTAAAACAAAAAGTTAAAGTGCCAAAATGATTGTCTGGAGTCATCCCTTCACACCTTCATCCATTCATTAAAAAAAAAAAATTTGTTCTCCTAAATTAATAAAAGAATCATGAATAAAATAATCCTTGTATATCCATCCACTTGGCGGCTTCCCAATGTCAAGAATTCGTTAATTCTGCAAAGCCAAAAATGATCGAGTCGTTACCACATGAGTAAGCCACTTTAACTTGAGGAATCAATGATGATCAAAAGTATATGGTACCTTAATCATTGTGAAGAATTGTCAATGCTCCCATGGAACTGAGATGCCGAAGAGGTGGGCGTTTGTTAATCAGGTAAAACAAACATAACCATGCCTTGTGACGAAAACTGTATTTTGTAAGTTAACTTGATATGCTGATTGAGAAGGCTAAGTTAGTGAAATGTGGAATGTGTTAGAGAGCCAATTACAAAATTTACACCTGGTCCAAAGAAAATGTAGGAAAGATTAGGCAAAGGAAAGCAACAACTACAGCAAAACCAAGAAAGCAAAAGAAGACCGACCTTTAATTTTTGTCAGTGAATAAGGGAATGTCTCCATCACCCCTCAAGAATGAATATCTTCAAAATGATTCCTACCTGCAATGGGGACCAACGTTTACTCAATAATGGGAACAGGGAATGGCTATTCTTAAGGAAAATTACAAAAGAAAGAATGTGTAAATACGACACACTTTCATCTTGTGCCAAGTACAAATTCTTTTTCTGAGATGGATTATCATATAGATTCCTCAAGAATAACCAGGAGGGATGATTTGGTTTACTGGAAGATTCAAGATAGCCATCTCTTCCATGTTCAAGATTTATGGACTCAAAGTCATGGACACAAGGACCACAATGATAAAAGAACCTTGCATGCTGGGCTTTTTGTTTATTCTAAACAACTATAATGCAAAAAAGACAGGAAAAAGAGAATTATCCAAATAACTTGGATGGACACTTCACCTGATTGATTTGAGATGTAATCCATACCAGAAATGAAGAAACACACTGAAACCTGCAAAAGATATTTACAGCCCTGTTATAGACCATAGGAGTTTCATATGATTGAAATTAAGAAAAAGGCATTGCAAACATTCCTTAATGGAATAACTTAATAATGTCAAAACAAAGAGAGTTAGAACGTACTTGAATTGGGGGAATAACCATTCCCTCATCCTCAAAAAAAGTTTATTTCGGTATATCCACGCGAGTATGGCAACAGCTCCTCTACCTCAATTCTAGAACTGGAATAGCTCATGGTTTTCTTCAAACGTCTATGAGTTGATTCAACCTCAGCCCAGAATACACCATACACTGGTCTATGATCTGAGAACCTTGATTCTCCACGAACATAAGATAATTGTTGGAGGCCTTCCCCATACCATAATATCCTATCACACCTTCATAAGACAAAAGAAAAATAGCTTAATCAGCATATCAACTATCAAGTGGTTAGAGTTTAAGAAAATGCACACAGATTTAGGAGACAAGATCCTACTACTTTCTATGCTGCAGTTTCTTTTATAGCTTAATTTCTTTTGCATTTGAGCTAAGCTTTTTTAAGTATTTATAATGCCTAATGTTTAGCAACATGTTCTTACCAAGCTGGAGTTCGGCGTTTCTTCTTCGGGTGCATATCATCCCCTGCATATCTGTCTGAATTAGTTGAATATTTGTATGTTGGAGGGAAATAAATCTTCCCTTCATGCCATCCCACAAAGACACGCCCACGTTTCTGCTCTATCCGTAACTGCCAAGAAAACCATTCGGTGAAACATTTTAGTTGTGCATCTCAACAATGCCCAGGAACATGATAAGGAAACTTGTGGAGTCCAGGAATATGGCATCAAAGCATACCTGGTCCTTTTCTAACAATGCCCTCCAGTTCTGCATCTCAACAAGTGCCTTTGCAGATCGGTGAGAAAGGGCAATACGGTAATTCAAATCCCCAAGCCAAATGATTCGGCTGAATATTAAAATATACCACCATATTTAGAATGTATAAACAGTATGCAGCCAAAAGAACACAACCAAAGTATCTTGCCACACATATCATGGATCTATGAGAGTCACCAAGTTTTGCTGTAAAACTTAAGTCATTTGAAATTCCAACAGGATGTCTTAGGCTTAAAAATAGATTCATCAAAATATATCAAATCATACTTCAGCCCTTTCAAATCCATCATAGGATATAATAGTAAATCAATTCAATTTACCATAAGGAGAAAAAAAGTTCATTTTTATGTATTGTTTTGGATCCATATAGTCTCCTTTCTAACTACACTCTTCTCTTTTTCCATTCTGCATGTCTCTGTTCATCCAAGTAATAAAATATAGCAGACAAGAAATGGTCTTACTCATGCCCAAGGATTGTTTCAGGGGATTTCTCATCAGCTGCACCACGAACCCGTGGAAACCTTGTCTTCTTAAGAATCTCCATCACATCAGAGTTCCTCCTTAGCTCATCTCCATCTTTCTGTCCTGAGGTTAAATGACTGCAGATGAAACAGAAGCTTGTCTCATGGACAAGCATGCTAATAGAGATAGATCCCTGGAAACCAACCAACATAAGCTATGCATAAGTGGTTCTGATTAAGGAGGAATGACCAAGTAAAATGCAAATAAATAAAAAGTAATATCATCACTCAAGTATTACCTTATTTCCAAGGTAACCCATCAACCCTCTGCCAACACAAGATACTTTCATGTTTTTAACATGATCTCTTAACTCACTTCTAACCCATACTGTGAGGAATATGCCAACCATTTGCTTACTAGCTACTAAACAGTATCTTGAGTGCCCTGGCATTCTATATCCATTTTCATTTGAAGCAGACCCACCATAAGACATTGGTGAGTATAACATGGTACTAGGGGAATCTGCAATGCCATTATCATCATCAGATGAACCCCATCTAGAGTAATCACTAGGCCTGGAGTAATCACTGGGCCTCGAATAATCACTTGGTCTTTGAGAATAATCACTTGGTCTTTGAGAATAATCACTTGGTCTCTGGGAATAATCACTTGGTCTCTGGGAATAATCACTTGGTCTCTGGGAATAATCACTTGGCCTGTGGCCCCATCTATAACTGGAGTCAAAGTCACTTGGCCTGTGACCCCATCTATAACTGGAGTCATAGTCACTTGGCCTGTGACCAAATATTACCCGATCGCAAACACTAAAACGTCTATCAAGTCGTGGTTGTGAAATTGAAGGATCATTGTCCATTCTCCAGCTACTAGTTGTTTGGAATGAACGGCGATGGAAAAAGGAAGAATTCTTCTGCCTAGATGACCCCTCAAAATCAGCATTCATCTCAACAATTGGCCGAGGAACAGGAGATGGTGTATAGCACCCTCCACCTCCACTAGTTCCAGGGAGATTGTTTAGGGTCTTTCTTATGAGAGCGAGCCATTTTTTAGCTGGACCATTGTCTTCTGCACCCAAAACATTCCCAGCATTCAAAGGAACTATCTCTTGAAACCTGGAGGAAAAAAAAAAAAGAAAAAGAAATATTTCTTCTATTAGCAATTGACTAAAAACAGAGTTTCATAAGAAAAGACATAACTAACGAAACATACCCAAGAACGTATATATCAGCAGGAGGTGAAGCATGAAGCCAATCTTCTAGATTCAAATTACTTGGTGGCGATCTTCCTGCCACATTCCATGTAGCTACAAAAATGCTGCTCCAAGTTCCAAAAGAAAATAAAAGCTGGTATCAACAGTCCAACAGATCACAGACGTTGTAAGAAAACTGAATTATAAAATAAAAGATACCTGTAATTTTGCACATCTATGATTCTAGGGTGATCGAGATTCATTCTCCTTCGCCGGCCTTGCTCTGTACTCTTGCTAAATTTCTCTGTGCATCGAAGTAGGGAAGATGTTAGAAAAACTGTAAATAGAGAATGTTTTTATTAAAGAAAAATACATTATTGACAAGACCAACCTGTTTTGCTCTTTTTGATTCTGCAAGGCTCCCTCTCTGAGAAGCTAGTCCTGTATTCAACTTCACCCCCTAAAATTTTAAAATTCGAAAAATAAAAAGGAAAACCAATGAGCTATTAATTAGCTTAATCTTGAAACAAAATTTGGATTAGCATATAACTCAGAAATATAAAGGGAAATCCTAAAGGATGATAGAAGCAACAAGCATATTCATTTATCAAAAGTGATATTTCAGAATATTTCTGTCAAAATAAAGGAATATACACCAATGCCTTGTTTGTGGAGAAAAGGAAGATGGTAACCCAACAGAAAACACTGTTTTAATCCATGCTTTTGGTGTAGTCTGATTGAACAGAAAACACTGTTCACTTTCCTTTGTTTTTCTCAGATTGCTCAAGGAAAAAAAAATAGTATTTTTCTCAAGTATGAGGCCTAAGATACAAACTCTTTGCTGATTAAATACAAACAATCAATCATATCCCGAAAATGATAGGGGAAAACAAAAAAAAAAAAAACACGCACCTCCATAAACATGATCATCCGCTTGAAAGTCCTCAGCTTTGCTCTTGATATTGAACCATTTTCTGACCAGTTTCTTGGACCATGAGAGCTTCACCAAGACAACAAAAGAAAAAGAAAGAAAAATCATATAACAAACCTCCAAAAGACTGTTTTCACAAATTTCAACACAGAAACAAAGAAAGTGAAAAAACCTTGCTTTTCTTAGAGTTCCCATCACTCATTGTTTCACTGCTACTTCATACAGCTCTTCTTGAACTCAGCCCCCCACACTCCTCAATTTCCAAGTTGTGACAATAATTCGTAATCACAACAAAACCCAATTTTTTCTACGAGAATCTCTAAAGCAGAAACAAAGTTCACTTCTTCAACTTCAACGCCAAAGCTAAAGCAGCTCAACAAATGGGTTCTCTTACTTTGCTAAAACAAGCTTAGAGCTCAAACAAAGAGAGCAAACAAGAAATTGGGTCCTTCTGTCTTCTTCTTATGGAGCTATAATGAATATGAGACACTGAGAGAAGCAACAGAGAAGCTAAAACCCAGAAGAAAGAATGAATGCACACACCAACTAGAAAGAGAAAGAAAGAGACCACTTTAATGCGTGGAAGTGAGGTGAGAGATTCTTGAAGTAAACAAGACAATGCGGCAGACATAAGAAGAAAGGGAGGGAGAGAGAAAAAAAAGCTTGTGAATTTCTTCTTTCCTCTTCTCTCTCTGTGTTAAACAAACAGCCTCGTTCTCAGTAAACGGCCCAAAGCATCGAATTTGAACAGAATAAAGTGCATTAAGAGAGAGAAAGTCAGGAGAAAAATATTGGTCTAAGGGGGCTTTGCTTTTTCTTTTGTTTTTGGTTTTTGGTTTTTTATTTTTCTTTGTGGGTTTAGTCCTTACTCCAAATCTCAAGACAGCCCCAGCATGATTGGGGCAGAGCGGCAACGTCGTTTGCTTCATAGCCTTGAAAATAAAACGGCATGGGACAGGGGAGGAAAGGCTGCCCTTGGTCAGCACTATGTTCCCCTTCTTCCTCCTCCATTTTGGTCTTCCACCAAAGTAAAAAGCAGTTAAAGAAGGCAAAAGATAAAGGAATGTAATGTGCAGTACTAAAATTTTGTTTCTGTCTGCTGCTCCCTTTGTTTTTTTCTTTAATTTTTCTTTTAATTTCTCAAGTTTATTCTTTTCTTCATTTACAAATTTTTCTTTCGGAGGCTGCTCTGTTTTTCACAGAGGAATGCTTCCCCTACATACAGCAGTAAGGGTATCCTCTAGCCTAGGGGTATCTTTATTTTTTTTTTGGTGTAACATACAATTCGTCAAAACACGAGATAAGTAAGAAATTCTCCTGTAGTGATCTCCATAGAATTAAACCTAGATCAATTAACAAGCCAAATCTTTTGGGATACTTTAGGGTACCTTGTTTGTATAAGAAGGAAAATGAAAACGAATATTTTCCCAATTTTTTTTTCCTGCATTCAAAATGTTGAGAAATGTGTAAGTTTGCTTCTGAAGAATGATTACAGGGGAAATGGGATGGAATGTTGGGAATATTGTTAACCAACTTGCAGATTCTCTAAACACTCAATCTAGGGACGTGTCCTTGTTTCCAAGGGCATCATCTGTCCTAGTTTCAGATTTTTTTTTCTGTTCTTTTTCATTTTTATTAACTGCTCTAGAGCTCTGGTTACAGAAGCTACTAGATCTGATTTTCGGCACAAGAACCTTCATGGGTTAGTGTGATTTTTCCCCTTTTTCTCTCCAGAGCATATGATAGGGAGTAGCCTTCTCAGAAAAAAGTGTGCTTGATCTATGGACGGATCAGCCTCTTTTGGTCACACAAAGCAGCTCCAAATGTATTAAACATCCCTAGCTCCTACATTGAGAATTATATATATGAAACTTTAATTATGATCTTATAGTATTATAGTATGAAAATTGCATTTGGACCCAAGTGTTTCTAGCTTGGTGATAAGGGAATTTCTTTTTCATCTAATTAACCAAGTTAATTTTTTAAGTGTTTTTTAATATTTTGATATGAATGATATAGTTTACCTAGTTTTTTTATAATACTAAAAAGTTAGATTTTGATATCTAAATTTGATTTATAATATCATCTCGATTGTACTAAACAAATAAATTCTCCCGTGATTAATTCTATTATGAAAATAAAGCAACATTAAAGACATGGGGTTGTCTATTATGTTTTTGAAATGGTTACAATATATGCATGCCTCATGATTGTTGATCTTTGTAAGTCATTGATTAGGAGGAAATTTTTATACGCTCAGAGGACAATTTTCCTTTTTTTTATTGAGCTCGACGGCGGGACATTCCATGTTGGGACACCCTGAAGACCACAAACTAAAGCATATCCACGTCCAAATGGAAACTATGCTCATCAAGTACTTCATAAACCCTCCACTAAACTCAGTCTCAGTGTAAGCTTCACTGCCATTATAGCCTGTTCTGCCAAATGAGGGATTATGAAAGATGGTTTAAATGCCAAATTCCTGAGTTTCGCTTGAGCATATGAATCAGACTGGTGTGTTAAAGAATTGAAACCTGAATCATAAGAAAAGGATCTTTGCAGTTGAAGGGATTGATTGAGAATCTATTCAGACTCGAATCCAGGACTTAGTTACACATCACAGGCGAATTTTACCATCAACTCATTGCTTGGACCTCAGATTTCCTATGATTTAAGCTTTTGAACCAAAATGGGGAATGACCAATTAGAATGCCACTACCTTACCTTGTGTAGTTTTGTCTTTTGTGTGTTCTTTTCCCAAACGTGTAAAATGAATGGATTCCCATTTGTTCAAATCAAGGTTATCTAATCAGAGCCCAGAATCAATTGCCTCCCTGAAATACGGACCGATGTCCTCGTCCTTTTCCATGAATTTGTTTTTTTTACTCATTAAAAGGTTAGTTATTTGATATTATAAATATTTAAATTTTTAATTTTAACTCTAAATCAAGTTTTTTTAATTTAATAAGTACTAATTTAGAGGTAAAAGGTACAAATTCTCCTCCAAAATTATTACATTGAAGCAAATTCTCGTTTAAAAAGATGTTGATACAATTTGTCACTCCAAATTTTTATTTTCAAGAAATTAGTCTAAATTTAATTGTTATAGTTAACTTTCTATTCGACTTTAAAAGTAAATATTTAACAAAATTTAAGAAAAACCATTAAATTTATGCCAATTTCTTGAAAATGAAAATTTGAAATAGCAAATTGCATCAATAGTTTTTAATGGTGATTTGCTTCAACTTAACAATTTTAAAGGGCAACCTGCACGTTGGTTCTAATTTAGCCAAACTCTTGTTGATTCTCTTCCCCTTTCCCTTAAATTTAGCCGAATTTCTTTTTAATTTTTTGAATTTTCTAATTTCAAAACAAATTAAGGATACAATTATCGCACTATTTTAACATTAACTAGTATTAAAAATACAAAAGTTATCATTAATTTTACTATTAGTGTTAATGTGGATCATTTTAACTGAGTAATTGAAGATCAACTTTTATTATTTTAATACTAATTAATATAAAAAATATATAATAATTACACTTACAACTTGTCTCAAAAAGCTCAAGTTAGATAAAATCTTAGGTTTTTTATTGGCCTCCTCAGAACTAATGTGGGTCTTTTCCACACACAATACAATTAATGTGGGTCTTTGGGAATCATTTGAAGCAATAAGGAGAACGAAAAAGAAAGTGAACATTGAATAATACAATAGAACTTGTAAAGTGAGAACTTGTATCAATGACTAAAGAAAAATGGGCCATGTTTTTGGGTATTTGGATATCTAAGGAGGGCAGAGGAAGTGACCCCACAAATTGGCAATACTCTTCTTTTTAACATTTCCCCCCTTTTTTTCCTTTTCTCCAATTACAAGCTTGTATGGATGGTGTGGTATCTAAGGCGTATCCAAGTTCTGGGATTCAAGAAGGATATGATGAAAAGGGAAGTTGATACAATTTTTTTTCTCTACATGCCTCATTGTAGGGAGGAAAATGAAAGAAAGTGCATTAATTTGTCTTTTCTGTTTTTCTCCATTAATTTGGTTTGGGTGTGTAAACATAAACAAAATTTAAAAGGATTTTTTAAACTAAAAGAATTATCATCCTTAAAAGGGGAAAAAAAGAAACACAACTTCTGGCTCTTGATATGTTTCCTTCATTGTCTAGTCCAAAATTTTTGAGATGTGGATTGCTCCACATACTACTAATCTGCCTTTTTCATAATCGTTTCCCCTTATCTTTACTTTATGATCATTTGTTGCATGTTACCATGTAGTTTTAATCTGCATTGTGAAACTGAGAAAAGTTTGACTAGCATAACACGAAATATTCTCATATTAAATATGCATTTTTCTTTAATCAATATTTGAGGAAATTTTGAGATTTAATTATTTGTGATTTAGGGTTCTTGCATAAAAAAATTTAAGATTTTAAAATATGCATATAATATGTGATTTTTGGTATGGGTAGATAAAGATTAGAGATATCAAAATATACATATAAACACATAAAGTTTTCAATTGGTGTGAATAACCACTTAAAATTTCTTCAAGGCCTCTAATTTGAAAGAATGAAGAGAAAGGGAAAATAAGGATATTTATAACAATTTCATATAATTTCAAGTGATTTTATGCACCTTAAAACAATGTGAATGCCGTGAGTATTATCATTGATCAAACTCATATATATACAACATATATTGGATAGAATTACACAATTGCCCTTCACTAATATATAATACTCTATCATCCCCCCTCAATTTGGGCAGGATTAGAAAGAACGCACAAATTGCCACGCAAGGACCGAAAAGGCATAATTGGAAGTGCCTTTGTCAAAATGTCAGCCCACTAATGACGAGAAGAAACATATTGCAATCAAACTTGCTGAGATGCAACCTTGTCATGAACAAAATGCAAGTTAATCTCTATATGTTTAGTACGTTGATGTTGAACTAGATTGGTTGACATGTATAAAGCACTGATATTATCACAATAAAGAATAGTGGGGAAAGACACTGGAAAATATAACTCATGAAGAAGTTGACGAACCCATGTTGCTTCAGCTACAACATTAGCAATGGCACGATATTCTGCCTCAGCACTAGAGCGGGACACTATGGATTGCTTTTTAGAGGACCAAGAGATTAAAGAATTACCAAGAAATAGACAAAACCCAGATGTGGATCGACGAGTATCAAGGCATCCTGCCCAATCAGCATCAGTAAAAAGATGAAGAGAAATTGTCTTGATTCGGCGAAGCTGAAGACCATAATGTAAAGTGCCTTTCAAATACCGAAGAATACGTTTCACAGCCTGAAAATGATAAACGGTAGGAGAATGCATATATTGAGAGACTTGCTGTATTGAGAAAGCAATATCAGGACGAGTGAAAGTAAGGTATTGCAATGCACCAACAATACTTCGGTACCCAGAAGGATCAGAATGGCGTGGACCATCATTAAGAACTAATTTCTTCCTGGAATCAAGAGGAGTGGCTACCGACTTGCAATCAGACATACCAGTACGATCCAGTAAATCAAGAACAGACTTAGATTGCTCTAAAAAGATACCATCTGAATTACGAGTAGCAAAAACACCCAATAAATAATTCAACGGTCCCAAATCTGTCATTAAAAACTCCTTCTTTAAAAGAGAAAGCACTGAAGATAATAATAAGGAAGTAGATGCAATCAAAATGATATCATCAACATATAGTAATAGCACTGCCATGGACCCACGGTTACTATACAAAAACATAGAAGAGTCATTCTGAGCCTGAATAAAATCACAAGATTTCAAGAAAGAAGCAAACCGATGAAACCATGCCCGAGGAGCTTGTTTAAGACCATAAAGAGCTTTCTTCAGCCGGCAAACATAATCAGGATGATGTTTGTCAACAAACCCTGGAGGTTGAGACATGTATACTGGTTGCTCTAGTTCACCATTCAAAAAAGCATTTTTAACATCTAACTGATGAATCGGCCAAGATGATGAAATACCAAGAGTCAAGACTAGCCGAATTGTCACTAGTTTAACCATAGGACTAAAGGTGTTATCATAATCGACACCAGGTTGTTAAGTATATCCCTGAGCAACCAGACGAGCTTTAAATCTTTCTATGGTACCATCTGATTTCTGCTTAATTCGATAGACCCATTTAGAACCAACAATATTAACAGTAGGAGGAGAAGGAACTAAATCCCATGTATTATTGCTCAAAAGAGCATTATACTCCTCTGCCATTGCTGTACACCACTCTGGTTGACGAATCGCCTGAGCAAAAGTTTTCAGCTCAATTAACGAAAGTGTAGTAGAAACCAAAGAGGGCAAATGACGCACCTTACGAGTTCCATCTTGAGACCTCGTTACCATAGAATGTGTGCGAACTGCCGTAGGAGGATGCTAACTAGAACAAGGATTAGATGTATCAATTGCAGGCATGACAGAAGATTGTTGAGCAATCGGCAGGAGAGAAGATTGTTGAGCACTCGGCGATGGAGGCAGTGAAACAGGTGGCGGACATGCAGCAGGTTGTGAGGAAATTGGAACAAGTGGCGGACATGTAGCAGGTGACGGACATGCTGAAGTGGAATGGTGGTGTGTTGGCAAACCAAAATTAGGTGGGGAAGGAAGGATGGTGGGCTCATTATTGAAGAAAGTTGTGGGCTTGGAAAGTGGGCTAGAAATTTGTGGAGAAGAATTTATGGTTGGGCTTGGTATGAAGGGGCTAATGGGTGATGGAGAATTAAGAGGCAAAGCAGTATCCAAAAGGTGAAAAGGTGTGCGAAAATCAGAGGATGAATTTGGTTTGTGTGAGATAGAAGTGGTAGAAGTATAAGGAAAACTTTGTTCATCAAAAATCACATGTCGAGAAATAAGGATTTGATGAGTTTCCAAATTCAAACAGCGAAAGCCTTTGTGATGGGATGAGTAACCCAGAAAAACACATAATGTAGAACGTGGGGCTAGCTTATGTGGGGCAATAGCTGATAAATTTGGGTAGCAAGCACATCCAAAAATTCGCAAATGATCATAAGAGGGCACTTTTCCATAAAGAACCTCATAAGGAGTTTGAAATTGTAACCTGGAAGTAGGTAAAATATTTATTAGGTGAATAGCAACATGTAATGCCTCCACCCAAAATTGTCCAGGTAGATTTGCTTGAAATAAAAGAGAACGGAGCATATTAGCGATTGTTCTATTCATGCGCTCGGCTTTCCCATTTTGTTGGGGAGTCGAGGGACAAGATGATCTCAATTGTCTTCCATGTTTCTGAAAATATAAGGCAAGCTGCATATTATCATATTCTTTTCGGTAATCACACTGCAAAGCTTGAATATGAGCACCAAATTGATTAGAAACAAATGCAGAAAATTTAGTAAAGCAAGAAAAGACTTCAGACTTAGACTTGAGAGGATAAATCCAAAGATAATCACTAAGATCATCCAAGAATAAAAGATAATATTTAAAACCACCAAAAGAACAAATTGGAGAAGTCCAAACATCACTGTGAACTAACTGAAATGGCTTAGATGTCACAGAAACAGAATCCGAAAAAGAAAGACAAACATGTTTACCTAATTGACAAACATGACATAAACTAGAACTACCAACTGTTTTAGTTGTAGGAAGAAAACCACGACGAACTAAATGATTGAATGAGAATGAACCCGGATGACCAAGACGATAATGCCAAACTTGAGGAGAAATAGACACATGATAAGCTGCTGGAGACTGTTTAGAACTGCCAGAAAAGGAATATAGACCACCCGAACTATTGCAACGAAGGAGGACACTCTTCGTCTGTAAGTCCTTAACAGAAAATCCAGAAGGATCAAAATCAACACTACAATTATTATCCCTTGTAAATTGACAAACAGAAATTAAATTTTTAGAGATGTTTAGACAAACCAAGACATTATTAAGTTGAAATGAATGATCCTTAGACAAGAGCATACTATGACCAGTATGAGAAATAGGTAAAAGCTTACCATTACCCACTTGAATAGACTCACAACTAGTATAAGGAATAGAAGAAGATAAATGACCTGAATTTTTTAAGACATGAACTGCAGCACCAAAGTCAAAATAACAGCTAAGATCACCACTGACAGTGGAAGCATTATCAGCTATGAAGGTCTGAGGATAAGAAAGCTACTATGAAGTACGAGGTATAGAGGGACAATCACGAGCTTGATGGTTTGGTTGAAGACACCATTGACAAATCACATGTGTAGGCAGCAAATGAGGGAGAGTAGTATTATCCCATGAAAATCTTGTAGCAGGACCAGAACTTGAAGATCAATAGCCATGAGAGGTGAGTGGTCGAGGTGATGAATAATCTGGCCGAGGATGATAATTTTGTTGGTTGTGAAACCGTCCTCCACCACAATTCATTTGTTGTTGTCCATTAAATCTTGCACCAGAATACCGACCTCCGCCTCTACCCCAAAAATTATTCCGACCACAATTATTGTTTCTGTTTGGAGGTCGAGGAGAGTAATTAAAATCTCTTTGTTGTTGTGATGAGGTAGAAGACAACAAGACTTGTGGAGATGAAAAGGGAGCTGCAGCCATGGCTTGTCCAGATTCACGCAACACAGTAGCTTCCTCAATCAACAACAGGGAACGAAGTTGATTAAAAGAAGGAAAGGGCACCCTTTGAGGTATAGTGCGTTTAGAAACAGTATAAGCAGAATCAAGTCTAGCCAAAGTATGCAAAACTAGATCTCGATCAGAAACAGATTCACCAATTCCAAATAATCGATCGGAAGTAGTCTTGGCACGTTGAAGATATGAGATCATAGATTGTTCTGGTTCTTTCTTTAACGCCATGAACTCCTGACGATATAACATGGACTGAGCAACAAGTTGGTCTTGGTGAGATTCTTGAATCGCATCCCATGCTTGCTTTACAGTAAGTGATCTTCCTGGTTGAATAATCATTTGAAGAACCTCAAAAGCAATAGTAGATTGAATCCAGGAGAGAACTTGACAGTCTATCTGGTGCCATTGCTCAAAAGTGGAATCCATAGGTGATGGGCACGGATCGAATCCGTCAACATGTCCATAAACTCCTTTGCTGCGAAGAACAGGAATCATGAGTTCTTTCCAAAGCATAAAGTTTTGATGGGTCAATGTTTCAAGGACAAGATGTTTAATATTTGAGACTGAGAACACAAGATGAGTAAAAATTGAGGAATTTGTATTTGGTATGACAGGATTAAGGACATGGATAATGGGAAGTGTTGATTAAGAAGAGATCACTGGAGTAGTGGTAGTGGTAAGGGCTGAAGAAGACACCATGAACACAAGACACAAAGAAACTATAGAAGAAAAGAGGAAACCTAGACGGCGGAAAACCTAGGAGAAGCTAATCCATTTGATGCCCTAATTTGTAGCTCTGATACCATAAAACAGTGTGAATGCCGTGAGTATTATCATTGATCAAACTCATATATATACAGCATATATGGATAGAATTACACAATTGCCCTTCACTAATATATAATACTCTATCACACCTAATACAAATCTTAAGTCCTTATTTATATATCTTAAAATCTCATATCTTTATGTGTACCTATATTACATTATAAATATGTTGGATAGTGATTGGTACACCTTATATTTTAACACCCAGTTCAACATCCTTCGGTTTAGTCATTAAAAAATCACTATTTTTTAGTTTGAAATTAAAAATAGACAAATATAATGATACAATTATATACATAGGATACATGAGCCGACTAAATTGACTATATTTATATTATATTTTTAATGATTAAACTAGAGAGTGTTGAACCAAGTATTGAATCAGGTATTGAATCAAATGGTGTACCAAATATTTTCCAAATATATTATATACACCTTTTAAAATCTTAAATTTTTTTATATACCAACACTAAACCACAAGTAATTAAAATGTAATTTTCTTTTTTTTTTTTTAATTTTATTGAGTGCAGGCAACACACAAGAGTATATAGACCAAATTTAATTGAACATTAAAACAAACCAGTAATAATTAATCAATATCTAATAATTATAATTATTTTTATATGTTATGTACAATATATAATTATTTTTATTTATAATTCAAGTGTATGTTTAATATATTTCTAACTACTAAATCAAATAGCAACAAAACCCTTATGAATAATAATGAAATTAAATGCCATTTCTTTTAATAATAAAAATATAGATCACATAGTGGAGACATTGCTGTAGATAAAGAAGAAAATGGGTCCAATCCAATTAACGGTAGTAGAATGTGACACTGCAAACGACTAGTTGAGCTTTGTGGCCCTACACTTGGCATTCAAAATTTCCATCCAATTTTGATTTCTATGTCTACTAACTAGGTAGAGGGAGAGCCTGTCTAGCACATCATTTTACGTCAATTGGTACATAAATATACATGATGTCTAAGCAGACACGGAGACACCCAACTCATGTAGTCAATGAGTACATAATGAATTTGTGATTCTTTTAAGAATCTTATTTTAATATTTGGATCGAAAATAAGGTATAGTTATCTTGCGGGGACCCAACAAATTTTGTTGGCGGGAACATAACCATGCACGGATAAATACCCCATAATTACCACACTTAATTAATTACTGTTCTTTAGTTAATTACTTAAATAGTTTAACAATAATTTTTTAATATAAATAAAAGATCTTGGCTCTGAAAGATAATCATTTAAGGTTGAACTATTAATAAATAAAGTAATCTATGAGTAACTTATAAATTATTTAAATTCAACTGAAACTCGACTTAGTTGTTAAATAAGTTAAGAGTTTAATACTAAGTCTAATAAAAAACCTAACTTGAGCTCAAACTTTTACAATTACTTATGATCTATTTGCAAGTATTCAGTTTAAAATTAAAAGTTATATTATATATATTTATTAAATTTAAATAATAAAATAACTTGAAAATTTAATAAAATTGAAAATATAACTTAAATAAGTTATTTGAGTTATAATTATTAATAAAAATGTTTAAATATAGATTTTAATTTTTTTATTGCTAACTTAATATGTTTAAACTTTTGGTTATAATGGTTGTTTTAAAATGTAAAAAAAAATTATGATTAAATAATTAGTTATTAGAATATTTTGAAATTACATAAAAAAAAGAGTCAAATTTAAATAAAAGTATTTGATGGTTCGAGCTTACGAGTAACTTTGAATTTGTTTAGATAATCATGAGTTTTAACATGAGTTTTTTTTATTTTGAACTTGACAAGTATTTGAACTCTAATTTTTAAAGTGAATTTAAATACAAATACTTAGATATTTGAGTTGATTCAACTTGTTAATAACCTTAAATATGAATAAATTAAATTAAGAGGTAAAACAAAATTACTTTTCATTATGTAATACAAAAATTAGGAAAGAGAAAACCGAAATTAATATCTCTAATTAGGTAAGTTGACATTATTAAAGCATCATTAATATATCCTGAACACCAAAAAGCCAAAGTTCACAACGTAACTGGATGACAACGAGAGATTGATTGCCTTTGCCTTAGCAGAAATTCAAATACAGTAACTATTGCAAAAGGTCAAAAACACAATAAAGAATCGGGGATGGAGATTTGGTTGGCTTTGCTTTTGCCTTTTTTTTTTTGTGTGTGTGTGTGTGTATGCCAGAGACAAAGACATCTTCCTCTCTTGGTGAATTTGAGGCTACCAATTCAAGGTTTACGAGGCAGGCGGTCAAAGGCAGCATGCTGCAGTAGCTGTACATTGATGTTTCTTTGAGATTCTTTTAATTTGGTGCATGCTTTTGGAGTTGGAATAGAAGAGACCCCATTTCCACTCTTTAAGGGCGTGGTTTGGTGCTTTGTTTTCAAAGTCAATAGTCACAGTCTTTAATTAGGGTCTTTCAAGAATCTCCATTTTATTCTTTTCTTTAACATATACTTACTTTAGCTATCTATCAAATCTGTATATGTCCTGTTCTTTTTTTTTAAGCCAACAAACTATGTTTTAAGTGGTTTAAGGATTTAAAACTTTAAATTAGAGATTTTGAATATGAATTTAGAGAGGTTAAAACCAACTGTTTTAACCTTTCACCTTACAAAATTGGTAGGTTTTAGCCCTTAATCTTATAATATGACACTTTTAGCCCTTTATTTTACAAAGTTAGTAGGTTTAACCCCTCGCCTTACAAAATTAGTAGGTTTTAACCCCTCACCTTACAAAGTTGGTAGGTTTTAGCCCCTCACCTTATATTATGACATTTTTAACCCTTTATCTGTACGAATTAAAGAAAATAGCCCTTATTTAACATCAGATTATAATGTTTTATTAGTTTTTTTAACTGACTGTCAATTCTATTAGTTGACTGTTAGTTTTGTTAGTTAATTGTTAGCATCTGTTAGCTGACTGTCAATTCTGTTAATTGATTGTTAGCATCCATTAGCTGACTGTTAGCATCTGTTAGCATTCCGTTAATGGAAATAACAAATAAAATTGAATTTAAATTTCATGTTTTTATAACGGAATGCTAACAGATGTTAACAGTTAACTAACAGAATTAATAGAATATTATAATCTGATATTAGATTAGAGCTATTTTCTTTAATTCGTATCGGTGAGAGGTTAAAAATATCATAATTTAAGGTAAGGGGTTAAAACCTATCAACTTTGTAAGGTGAGGGGCTAAAACTTACCAACTTTGTAAGATAAAGGGCTAAAACTATCATATTATAAAGTGAGGGGCTAAATGTTGGTTTTTGCCATTTAGAGATGGGTGAAAATGAATTAAAAAAAAAAAGAAAAAAATATCTTTTGTTGTATAACTCATCATATAACGTACCAAGAAAATATGTGATTTTTTTTTTTTTATGTAGAACTAGGAATTAAACCCCACATATACATAGGTTAGCAATATAAATAACTCTATCAAACTAAATAGTTAATGATCAAAATTATACATTTTTAATTCAATATTATTTACACCCCAATAAGTAATTCACTAGTTAAGAACCTGAAATTCCAAATTAGAAATTTCAAGTTTAAATTTTAAGTAAGTGCGAGAGATTTGAAAAAAAAAAAGGAAAGGGTTATCCTTTTTATATAATTTTTAATTATTAAATGTACCAAAAACTCAATATTATTTACAATAATTATTTGCTTCCATATATGACTATTTTTCCCTCGCATTATTATATGTACGTGGCTGGTTGGGGAATATTATTGACCAACTAACTAGTCCGTTAATGTACTTTCATTTTTTAACTATGAAATATGTAAGAAATTTGAAAAGTGAAGGGATATTTATGTTGCATATATGCTGTAAAAAACTGCCACAATATATCAATCATACATTAAAGGAAAATTCACAGTTCATTGGTTCAACTTTGAAATCTTGGTGGTGAAAAGCTTGTAATAATTAGTTGATTTATTTTTTT